TGTTTGGCTGCGTGGTGGCGTTCTGACATGTGCAATATAGAGTTGCTGATGATGAAATGATAGTGATTAATGTTGTAAACCTAATCATAGACCATCCCATTAGCCAGTCATGACTGGGGGTCATAGTAAATAAACAACATCATCATCATCATCATTCAATGGGAATTCCAGGATCCTAAAATGGAGGTACTGTACCATATAAGGCCATATTTTGTGGAGATATTCCCATACATAGCCCTTACATAAGCCTTATATATGGTAGGTACCTCCAATCAATCGGTTCCTGAAATGGCCATTGAATCATCATCCCAGTCAGAGGAGTATACCCAATAATTAAATACAATTAACCTCTATTGGGGATGGTTTTTCACAACGGGTTTACAACATTCTGCTGATGCTGACGGTGAGTGCTGTTATGTTGTTGATGACGACGAAACAACAGAAGCTGGCACTTTCCTGGCGGCACAAACTCCTTCCAAACATTCACGACCACTATCATGTGGTGCAGAAACTCAAATTCGTAGCTCCAAATAGCTCCACATATAGAATAAGGAACATACATGCATACACTATTCGATAGTTAATCATAGCATTCACCACTCCCTCTCTCTCTTTCCACTGTGATACGGCGACATTCCCAAAGTTCATTGATTGATTCACGGGGCAAAAAATATGAAGATTTTCCAGTGAAAAACCAATCCATCAGGTAGTGAGTTCCCCATTATCTCCCCATGATGTGCCCACTATACACTCATTATACCACAGTTATGTTTCCGTGTTTTTTTTATCCTAATAAAAAGGGTGGCATTGTGGCATTGAAGAAAGGTCAGAACGAAGGACGCACAACGTGGAACTCGGCACCTGCTTGTCAAAGTCATCAGGGAACTCGGCACCTGCGTGGCTGGCGTGCACCATGAAGGAAATGGAGTCGCTCTCGACCTGGCCCCACCGCACGTTCCTCCAACCGAATATCTGGATTCAATCCAAATAAAACCATGCCAAATAGATACACTATGGATCTTAATACATCAATTATATCATAACATCTGTGTATATAAAACTATAAAAAATACATATATAATACTCATATATATATATGTACATCCAAATGTCAAATATCATCAAATATCATCAAATCTCATCAAATATCTGGAGATTCGGGAAATATATTATGCATGCCATTGCATGCCACTTCCCGAGTCTTCGAACAAACATCAACGGCACCCAGTCGCCGCCAGGGTGCCATGACGAACTCAAGGACCGGCGTGTGATGAAGGCGAGGAGGGTTCACAGTGCCTCGGGGAGTGACTGGGCCAATCTGATGGGTTCAGGAAGTAGGGAAATCTAGCAATTCCAATGAGAATCTGATGATGTTACCCTCTGGTAAAACATACAAAATCATGGGATTATGGTGATTTAATGGGACTTTATAGTGATTTAATGGGATATTAATGGGATATACCCTCTGGTAAACTAACATAGCGAACTGGAACATCACCATCTTTAATAGCTAAATCAACTATTTCTATGGGCCATGTTCAATAATGTTCAATAGCTATGTTAGTCATTACCAAAGGGTACATGAAAATACATGAACATAGTGACCTTGAGGGCGAATCGTGATCTCCTCGTCGTTGATCATAGCAGCCATAGTAACCCTTTGCAATCCAGGCCCAGCAGCACCCATAGCAGCCATAGTAATCTTGAATCTCTGGCACATTCAACAAAAAGTCTATGTGTATGAAGTATTCACCACCGCTTGGTCTATAATTTTTGTTGGTGTTTCCGGTAATTCAACTTTTTCACATATATATATACACATATTTGGGGATGGGTCAAAACCCTGGTACCTAGTGAACCCCAAAATAGCTGGTAAATGGATGTTCATCCCACTAAAAATGTATCTATAGGTATTGACCCATACCCAATTTGTTGTTGGTTACACCCATGTTTAATGGGTAAACGTACTCATCCAGCCGCATCGTGACGCCAAGTCGCGAGATCCAACACCAACTTTCACCTGGTCTCCCGCAGAGAAGAGTTGCGAACCTCTGCAAATCCGGGGCTGTGTAGTTTGGAACATGGTACCCTCCGGTAATTTAACATAGCTATTGAAAATGGCCATTTATAGTGGATTTTCCATAGCTATGTTAAATTACCAGAGGGTAGATCTACAGTTATGGCCCAAGTAACATGCACAAATGGGATAATAACTCCTATAGCATTCTAATCTTATGTAATTATGACCGTTAAGGGCCATAACTGCAGTGATAAGATGTAAAATATATTTAAAATGTTGTTGACAAACCATTGGTGTTGTTATCAAAGGCGTCGGGTTTTCGGGTTAAAATGTTCCTTAAACAAATAAAATAAGTCTTGATCTATCTATTCGTAGGAACACTATGATAAAACTGTTGAATTACCTGCCACTATCAGACTATATATCATCATGTTTATTGTTGTCTAGTGTTGCCGATCAACATCAATTAATGCATGATCGTAAATGCATCCAACTATCGATACATCTATCTATCCATCTATCTATCTATATATCTATCCATCTATGTATATATCTATCTATCTATCTATCTATCCATCTATCTATCTATCTATCCATCTATCTATCTATCTATCTATCCATCTATCCATCTATCTATCTATCTATCTATATCTCTCTATCTATCTATATCTCTCTATCTATCTTTCTATCTATCTTTCTATCTATCTATCTATCTATTTATCTATCTATCTATCTATCTATCTATCAATCTATCTATCCATCTGTCGACATATATCAATCTATCAATCTATCTAATTCAATATCCACATCCATATTATATTGTTCTTTCTTTCTGTCTTTCTTTATTTTTTCTTTTTTTCTTGTGTTCTTTCTTTCTTTTCTTCTCTGTTTCTTTCCTGTTGTTCTTTTTTTAAATGTTATTCTTTCTATCTACAGTATCTGCCTATCCATCCATCCATCTTTCCATCCATCCATCCGTCTACCTAGACTCTCGCAGTATGCATGAACATGCGGCAAACTCATCAGATCAATTCAAATAACAGGTGGTTCGCAACTTGCGCGTATTCCAACACATTCCAACATAATATATATATATAGGGGGTTGTAACTTATAAACTACTTATGTAACTGATGTAACTTATAACTTATAACCTACGAGTACTTGTACCTACTTACAACATCAAATTGAAGTACCCCATATGATCCAACTCTTACGGGTGCGGTGCAAGACACCACGGCGACGAATGGGACGGCCACTCATCTTGATGTCCTCGGATTTGTTGAGTAAACTCACATGGATATGGATGAATTATGATAATATAATAAAATATATGATAGTTCACCTGAAACAAGGCCACAAAATCTTCCTTCCTTTCGGCCCACCCACCTGAAATCAGGTCTATTTTTTTGGGGATTCCCTGATCTTCCCTCTACAAACCATCATTCCATCAGTCCAAATTCACCCAAGATATGGACAATCCACGGCTTCCTGAGGAAACGATCTGCGATGGACTATCCTAGCCGCGCCTCCTGTTTTTTTGAAACACCCTCCATATGGGTCACGATACCCAAAAAAAAGAAACAGTACTAGACCAGGATTTCGTTTAGAGGGTCCAGTGTTTAACATGAATGGGGCCTTTATGTAATACTACATGCTCCAGTATGATAAGTTGCTCATCTATAGCATATAGTATAGAATATATGTTCAAAATTTACTGTAAAGCACAACCCCGTCATGTAGAATCATGTATTGAATGAAAACAAAAAAAAACACATGGAGCAGGCTATCCGCAGATTCCCTGAGGCTGAATCAGCATGACTTCGGCCAGGTATCCAACTGGGTGAACTGGTTATGGCGGAAATCTGTGCGATTCATGCCTCACACGGGGGCCGTGTTTTTTTTCCCGGCGATTCATGCGGGAAAATGACATTTGCCAAGATGGTGCATCATGATATATATTTGGATTGATTCTCAGGGAACATTGCAGGAAACCTGTTTTTTTCCACCAAGATGTTCCTGCAAATCGTCCCTTCAACCAATGCATCTACTTCTTTGCTGCCATGACATCTTTGCAACACATGAGTTCTATGGGACCTTGATGGACCCTGTAAATCACAATACATGGCCAATCGTAGGTACAAAAGCGTTGTTTTTTTACATGCTTGGGATGTATAACTGGTGCTCCATGGTTAGCTAAGTTGGTGCAAATAACTCCAATAACTAGAGTTGTAAAAGTTTTAAGGTATACGGTATACATATATATATAGATTTATCTATTGTTACCTATGATCTCTATATACTGTAAACCAACTTATAACTAGGGGGGCACCACCTTATATGGCCCAGAAAAGAAGACTAAAGTTACTAAGTCGTCCCCATCCAAGGTTGATCCGTGGCAACCTGGCACGTGGCGACGCACTCGAATATCGACGTATTCACCACCATCCTCAGTGGATGAAGGTGGGGATTAGCATGGAATAGCTGGTGAATGGTGAAAGGATTAGCATGATTATAAGAAAGGAATAGCTGGTGAATAAATCATCCTTTCATATACTTTTGACTCAAGGTTCTTGTTTAATCTTTTTGCAGTAAATGTATGTAAATGTACCACATGGAAACTTCAATAAGATAATAAGCAAGGAGATATTGGATGACAATTGCAGCTTCTTCACCCCTCGGCAAATTCGGCAAAACATGGGCCCGTGGGTCCATAAAGCGCACCTGGGAGCTGTGTGAATCAAAAAAGTGACCCTCAGTGGATTCAGGTTATGAGGATACCCTCTGGTAAACATACAAAAAGCGAAGTGGAAAGAACATCACCATGCTATTAATGGGTAAATCCACTATTTCGACTGGGCCATGTTCCATAGCTATGTAAACGTTTACCAGAGGATACTTCAAAGAACAACAACCATCAGTTATTGCAACAAGGGACGCGGTAACTCAGGGTGCCAAGCATCCTTTCCAGTCACCATAAAGCGATCAAACCACTGGAAATCGATGCTAGGCCCTGCACAGAAGGGCCACTCAAAAGATAGCTAAGTTGGAGTATAACTACGCAAACTAACTAGGACTGTGTAGGGCTTATGATATATATGTATGTGTGTGTGCACCAGTATGTACAGTATATATTATTATATAGTTAATTATATATATAATTATATATACATATCATATGTATCGTTGGATGGGGTTATAAATAAATTATAAACCAACTTTTAAGATCTTATACGTACGTGGCCCCTTTCGGCAATGGCTCCCTGTTCTCGACTGCTTCTGCCGGCTCCCACGACGCCAATCTTACGCCCCCTGCATATCTATGTTGAGCTAATTATATATATATATAATTTAAAGCACAAAAATAAGCTACTAAGTTACAAATTCTAATTTATATAACTGTACTAGACTATCCATCATCAGTTGGTTTCATCCTATTCTTGATGGTCGATGTCCCACAAAACGTGTTGGTTAAACCCCCATGCTTAATGGCATATCCCCCCCAAGGTTCCACCAACTATTACGGCCATGTTTTGAAGAATAGGTTCCTTTCATTTGGCTGTTGGAAGCACTTGGGGTATTCCAGGCCATACCCCCGAAAAGCCTTGAAAGACAGAAGCCCAGACCTCATTCGCATATGATGCTGACATTACGGGATGTATTACCAAGTTACCAAGTGCCTGGCATGAGGCACCTAGAATAACAAACATATGTTACATGGGGGTTTCCTATAATGGGGGTACTGTACCCCCAAACGGATGGTTTATAATGGAAAATCACTTGGAAATAGATGATTTAGGGTATCCCCTGTTAGGAAACTTCCATATGTGCATTTTCTGCTATAATATGTTGCCATTGTCCTTTATGCTCAAAAGAACCTGGATAGAAGTATATGAATGGGCGGTCGCATGCAATTCCACCCCTCAGCCACCAGTCGGCTTCCCTCATAGTTTTGATGCTGATTTTCACATATGTTGTTGGACATGTTGTTGGTTAAAACATGTTAAAACACCATCTTCACTGGATTGGTTTTGTTGGGGAAAATCTTAACCGGAAACCATGGTTTAATTCCCATCAAATTGATCGGGCTTTCCGGTTAAAATTTTCCCATCATCCAATTCTATGACATCTTTGATGGTGAAACCTCTGCCCACAAGTTGCTGCCCCTAGCATCGAGCTTGCACGGTGCCATGCAGCATGATCAAATAACCCCAATAACATCGAATAATCATGAATAATATGAATAATATATGGAATATCCACGAATATCCCTGGCATTCCCTGGCTAGATTCATGGCTTGTACATGGCTTTCCTGCATATAAATATATTTAAATATCACCATTCCTGGGTCTCTGAATATGTCCCGCAAATCCACAGCCGATTTCCATGCCAGGGGACAGTCATCTCTGGAGTCTCCAACAGAGGCATCAATTCTCCAGGTGGGAACCAGAACTTGTACTTCTGGCCTTGCGGTGACGTGATGTTGGTCCCTCTCAAAAACTGAACATCTGCGTTGGAACCTTGACTTTTGTTGATGGAATTCCATCCGATTTTGTTACAGCAATCATGTCAATATGTCATATGTCCGTCCAAAAAGAATAAAAGAGAAAAGTATCCAAGGGGTATTTTCCAGTGATGCTAGCGGCTGCGTCTTGTCTTTGTCACATACTTACTCGACAACACCGAGATTCTCAAAAGTGTAACCGCTCAACTGGCTTCTGATCTTCTGACTTATTCGGGATATTTTTCCGAACCAATGAAGGGCCAGTGATTGCATGCTCGCTTTGTCAAGGTGAACGAGTTTACACATTTTGAGATTTTTGAGGTCTCCATGACAAGGTGCTCCCCAACGCACCCAAGACAGAATGGGGGCCCAAACTCATCTCATCCAACACACCGGGCCATGTTGGGTTTCCAACCACTGCTCGCCGACAAGCCACCCTGGTACCAAGTGATTGGGTCACCGATGGCAGACAAGGTAAAGGAGCCGCTATTGTCAACCTAAGTCAGCGGCGCAGGACTTGTTGCAGTCGTGCAGGACTTGGTCCATGGGTCCTTTGGGGTTTACAGTTTGGAGTCGCTACCCATCTGAATTTTGCACAAAGGATTGCGCAACCCGAGAAGCTGGCAACATAAACAATGAAATAAACAGCAGAAAACCGGAAAATCACAGTAATCCTAATATCAATGGTCATTTCAGGAACCGAAATTGAAGGTACCTACCATATATATATAGCCTATGTAAGGGTACAGTACCTCCATTTTAGGATCCTGAAATTCCCATTGATAATAGGTAGCTAGTTCACCTGCTTCACATAGGATTGAAAGGTAGACGGTCCCAATGGGACCCATACGATGACTTCCGGCATCTCTTGGCTCCCACACAGTGAACGTCACGCTCACGGGCGTATTGTCAACGTCGGTCTGCCTTTGTCGAACAATGGTATGATCTTATTTGGCAATTAACATTTCAATGGAAAATTCCCAAGTTATGCTCATTGATCGATGATTTTCCTGAAAAGGAATCGTGACTTTCCTTTCCTCACCACCACATGGATCCAATTGGTATCAACCAATCAATAAAATAACCCCTCAAAGCAGGATAATGCTTGATTGACATCGGGAAACATGGTACCTGGGTCATTAACTGAAACATGACTGGGAGATATCACGTCTGTGGTTCTATGCTGATACTTGCAATGTTTGTGGTGTTAGTGATGATCACAACAAAAATGAACATGAACGTGCAAATCAAGACGAGGATGATGACGCTGTCCAGTATGCTGATGAGGATGACGATGAATGATGATGATGATGATGATGGTGATGATGATGATGATGATGATGATCATGATCATGATGATGATGATGATGATGGTGGTGATGGTGATGGTGATGGTGATGGTGATGGTAATGGTGATGCTGATGGTAGTGGTGATGGTGATGGTGATGGTGATGGTGATGGTGGTGGTGATGATGATGATGGTGGTGGTGGTGATGGTGATGATGATGATGATGATGATGATGATGATTGTGATGATTCTGATAATCCTGATGATGGTGATGATGATGATGACGACGATGATGATGATGAAGATGATGAGGAGGATAAGGAGGATAATGATTGATGATTGATGATGGTGATGGTGATGGGAAACAATGTTTTGATTAATAACCAAGATTAAGAGGTGATGGTGCATGATGAAGACACTGATTTAGCTGACAATGATCAGGATGATGACGGCTATGCTAATGATACAAGTATGAATTGATATATATATATAACATGTGATTACGCAAAATAGTGCCGCAAAAATGGAAACGAAACGCAATGAATGCTCTCGAAGGTCAGCTACTAGAAACACAACCGGTGAAATTGGCGAAAAGGGCGTGCCCTATCGCGACCGTGGAGGTGTCCCCCCCCACAAGTTCCTGGGGGATGCTTATCTTCCAAACATGTCCAAACCATTTTTCAGGGGTAATCGTCACGCTGTGGTTTCCTCAAACTTACTCAGCACCTGAGCTGGCTGCATCCTGCCAGCCTCATAGCTTTATTCAAAACACACTTATTCAAAAATCCCTCGCCACAAGCGGGTCCCCGGGTCCACCCTTTAAAACTCCGAATCGCCGCTAAGTGGCACAGTGAAGTCCAGTTGACCTGTGCCCAACGAGCTGAAGCTGGCAGTGCCCGCGGTCAAGACCATCGAAATGGCCGCGCCCGCAGTGTCACAAGGTGTGCTGGCTGTGCCGACCTTCCTCACCTCAGCTAATAGGCTAAGGCCCTGGTTATTTCAGAACAAAGACATGTTAAGACCATGGTTTCCTGTAGGCTTTCCCACAAAAAGTAGCTAAGTAGAACAAAGCCCAACAAGTGACGATCGTCGTGGAGACAAGGTTGAGACAAACGGCCAACCCCTCGTACGTTGCAGTTTCCACCCTTTGCGCATGAATTGGCTCCACTGTTTTGGTCCAAAGGAATCCCCAGTCAGTGGCCTGCAACTTGGTGTGACTTCACATGACCGAACCATGACCAAGACCCAAAGACCATTCTCAGCGCTGATCTAAGCACTCCCAGCTTCTTAAAAGTATCATTAGTCATTAGTTGAATTCATGCGCCCTGCGTCCAGTTGTATATATATATATAAATATCATTGGCTTTGTTTCGCAGTGGGTGACAATTTTACATATTCACTATCATCGCCATCTCCAAGAGTTTAGCAAAGGGCTAAAGGCAAGCCATTGGCCCAATGCCCAGAACTAATGTGTCAGTCATTGGAAGCCAGGTTTATCCCTGGAATTCTGGCATCCGCTAGCACCAACCCTCTGGCGGAAGTTTGTTAATTAGTGTCCTCACTGACCATGATCCATGGTGATGTCGTGGTGAGGTGGTTATTGTATGTGATGTGATTATTATATGTTATTCTATATGTGATTGTGTTTATAGTCCTCATAACTATATAATATAGCTATATAATATAGCTACGTATGTCAAACTAATCCATTTGCACTATTTAAAAATACACCTAAACGAAGCCATGGTTTTGGGCTTCCGTGTACTGGGAGTGAGTACTTAATCTGGCAAAAAATCTGATGGAGGCATCAGATTGCTGAACATTTCCTCAGGTAATCCTCAAAATACCATGGCCAATCTTGCCCTGCAAAATATGGCCATCTCAAATGGCAATTCTTTGTTTCTCAAATCCCAAGCTTTATTGGTTGAACCCTCCATCAATCAAGTGCCTGATGTGGAAACAAAAGCACAATAGCAGTCACAGTGGGAAAATACCTTCGTCTTCATTGGTTTGATCTTTCTATGGCCATCAAAAACCCCCTTGTATACCCATAAAACATGCGTTTGTCTACAAATTCGGGTATCACATTGAACATTTCATCGCACTGGTGAATCATCTGTTTACCATCCAAAATGACCCCTTTTTTGCGGGGCCAATCCCATGTTCTATTTCCACCCATAATTACAACTATGCCCTATATAGATTCCCCAAGTAGTGGATTTCCCACTGGACAAAAAATGCTGGAGAAAAACACAGCTTGCACAAACCTATAGGCATACTCGACCCAATTCTATAATGGTGGTGCAATCTGGATTATTGCCGCTTAAATTCAATTTATAAACGAATTTGGTAGCGATATCCACATTATATCACATTTATATATATATATATATACATATTTATATCCTCACTATATACATATTTACCCTTTTAAAAATCGATTTAACCCAAGTTGTTGGATAAATCCACCATTCTTGGTGACTTTTGCTCGTGATATCCCCATGTTCTGTTATCCAAAATCAATGGCCATTTCATGTCAGGTACTGAGGTACTGTGCCTAAATTGGAGGCACCAGTATCCATCATACCATTTATAACATTTTATAACTATATATATGCATAGATGATATATATATATATAGATGATATATATATATATGAAATATCTCTATATATATATACATGATAATATATATATATGTTTATACTTACATTTAAAGCCCATGTAACGACTCAATTTCAGGGGGATAAGCCCCCAAACATGTGGCTTTATATGCTACACTAGTTCCATTTTAGGGTCCAAGCCCTAAAAAAATCCTCAGGCCCTGACCGGCACAGTCAACACGTTGCTGGACACCGTGGCAGTCCCGTAGGCTTCGCACACGGCCGCCAAGCGTCGCTGCGCGGCGCTGCCGCCGAAATCGCTGTCATCCTCCTGGAAAACAAATGATTTGGATTTCAATCCCCATAGGATGCATGTATGCTAAATAAATATATATATATATATGGTGTTATAACATTTACCATCAATATACCCCAAAAAGTTAGCATATATACCATACATGGATCCTGTGGGATCTGAAACAAATGCCAGGAAGCCAAATTATAAATGGGCTATATAGATCTATATAGCCCAGATGTAAAAATGTCTTCCCAAAAAAATAAGTTGAAGATGGGACTTACTAACCAAGGCAAAACTAGCAGGAAACTGCGATACTTTATGGTAAAAACATGCAAAAACCAGGGTTCCACGTGGATTTTCCCTTAAACTGTTCCTTTCATCGTGCAGAACGTGCGCTGCTGTTGCGATTCCTGGATTTGCTCGAAGAATCATCAAAGTCAACGGATGATTTTCCATTGGGCTATATTCACTGAAAGTACTACACATGTTTTCTGGTTGGTGGTTTCAACCCCTCTGAAAAATATGAAAGTCAGTTGGGGTTATTATTCCCAACTGAATGGGAAAAACATGTTCCAAACCACCAACCATGTTTGAAACCAGTTTAATACACCTCCAATGAATTTCGTGGCCTCCAAACGACGTCCGCCGCCGATGTTCATATTGCCATCAGAGAGAAAGCCGGATGGGAGGTTGATCGTGGCCTTTGCAAACGGCTTCTTTTAGAACCTGTGAGGATGTCATTTTCTGAGTGTTCCTTCAAGTTCCTTCCTTGAATGATCTGATATGATATGTTTTTCTTTTTTTTCTGTTTCCTTCGGCTCCCACATGTCTTTTTTTGGAGTAACGAGTTGATGAACTCCCACATGTTTTCGGATTTCACAAGGTGATGTTGACGATTTGGCACACGAACAGCACTAACAAAAACCTACATACATGATGATTGCCATCTGATTTTACAATGGATTTTGATCATGTGTTAATCCTTCATATATTGGGCAAATTGCTTTCATATTGCCCCTTAATTAATCATAATGGTGGATTTCCCATTGCCATGTTTCTTCATCAGTTCATCTATTCCCGCGCCCAACACGCATCCGGACTGGACAGGTGGGTTTCCATCACCATCATCGGCAGTAGCATCATCAGCATCATCTCATCCGCCTCCTCCTCCTCCTCCTCGTCATCGTCATCGCTATCATTCGTTATCGCTAGTGTTCTTTATCATTATTTATCGATATCTACATCTGCTACAAGTAGAAGGACAAAATTGGATAAATGAAGGCTACTAATACAAGCAAAACACCGCCATTCGTAAACATCTCTTCTCAAACGAAAGCACGAGTCGGTTTGTCTGTAAATATATGAGGTATACATTGGGTGTATATCCCAGTTCAGAGCAAACCCATATATTTTTTTGGCATATATATATATATACATATCCCGCCATCTATCCCCGTTTTATCCCACAGTTTTACCCCCCCATTTCTGGTTAAAAACAATCTCCATATTAAGAACAGCTTCTGGTTGGTGGTTTCAACCCCTCTGAAAAATATTAGTCAGTTGGGATGATTATTCCCAATGTATGGGAAAAAATGTTCCAAACCACCAACCAAGCTTGTAATGGCTTATAAGGATTCCTTGCTGCGAATGGCTTCCAAGTCGCCAGGGAGGTTCCAGTGCTGGTCGCAGTGAAACCAATGGAAAGAGACGCTGGCACCTGCCGTGCTGGATCCAATTCGGGGGCGGTTGGGAGGCAACGATACAGGCCTGGGTCGAACAAACCATGTAGCGGTCCAAAGATGTGTAAATTCCCTACAAAGCCATGGTTTCTGGGGGGTGTTTAATATGAACGGGGTAAAGGATTACATGGATTTAAATGGATTCAAGTCCAACATGAGGCATGGGGTTCAAAGTTTTTGCAATTTTCACATCAGGATTGTGTTGAACATGTTGGAAATGAATGAAAATGATGGCGTGAGGGCTCCACCGAAGCCCCTTTTTTTGTCAGAAGGATGATCGTCATTTGGATCACATAGAAACAACACAATTCACGCTCAAACCACACAGTCATAACACAAGGAATGAATACCCCCAAAGGGAAACACTAGGAAACCCTAGTGAAATGTATTGGATGTATCCACGAATTGGAGTTTCACTCAAATTCATGGCATGTGAAATAATATTGGCATATATTGGCTATGTTTAAGGATGATAAAATCACGCTTGGCCCCATGTTTCATCGCCATTAGCAGACTCGCGAAAAGCAGGGTTTATAGCATTCGTGGAGTATCATCCCGCTTACATATGTAAGTGGTAAGTAGCCCTGACAAATATAAGTTCCCCATTTCTCTCCCTCTCTCTCTCTCTCTTTCTCTCCACTTCCCAAGTCCAACCTTATCCTATTTCTAACTAGGTTGTAACCCCAGTTCCGAACCACTTATAAGAACCCCCAAAAAAATAACAAAGATGTTTCAAAGTAAATCCATCCGAGAATGGCGTGGCGGTCAATCCCACCTTTTCAACAATTTTTTTTTGGGGATCAAAAAGATAGGATGGTCCGACGGTCAGTCCCTGTTCAAGGCCTCGCCCGGAGCCGCTGCGGTGCTGTTGGAGTCCAAGACCGAAAAGCTGATGCCGGACACTTCTGAGAGCGGTGGGAGCAGTGAAAATGGGGGATTTCATCTGGAAAAGATTGGGGATTTCACCGGAAAAGATTGGGACTTCAACTAGGGGAAATGTGGATTAACCAGCCAAGAATAGGGAACATCAGCAACACATATTGGGATTTTACCATCAGTAAGTTGCGGGATGTTGCGGGCATGTAGCCGTGAACACACGCGGATTTACCATTGCAAGAATAAACAGTACGAAACAATGATGAATAGAATTGGACTAGCTGAATAATATAGCCTGGGGAATGCCCATACTTGTGCGGAAATGGGTGCGTAAAACCAGATACTGCGAACATAGTGGCTATTCGACGGGATACCACATAAGCCACAAAATCAATGCAATGAGAAGGATTTGTCGGAGGCAAAAAGAACTGGGGACCCCTCTGTTGGATGCACAAATGGTCATAAATGCATAATGCATTGTAGTGAATTGAACTGAAATATAATTAATTATTAAATAAACAAATCGTTTTACCGAGGTGTTCTGTGTGCAGTAACTCATCTATTGAAGCAATTCTGGGAATGCCGGAATCATCCGCCAATGATGAGACGCTAAAATTGTCAAAACATCTGAGATCTTAGCCAACAATAGGAGTACGAAGTCAAAACGAGTCAGCGAAGCAGTTGTTTCCGGGAAAGTTCAATCAGCAAAACTGGGAAGACCTACCCAAATTTTGAGATGTCAATGATGTATACACAGCATTGTACATGAACCATCAACATCCATCAACGATAAATAATATATGTATTTTTATATTTTTATATATATGTATATACAGCCTCACCTGAGATGGCAATGAGCGAGTGATCACTTTCCATGATATAAATTGTTATTCCATTGATTAAATGTTGAACCACATGCGGAATAGATATACACAAAAAAACAAACATGCAACATGATGTGTCAACTTAAAAAACAACACAACATTTCAAGATGACATACCTCTAGTAAAGCTTTCCCTCGCCCAAGAGACCTTGGGCAGTGCGCAAAACTTGCCCCCAGGTGGTATTGGGCATGGGAATATGTTGCCAAACAATTACAGTATATAATGTAATGATTATCGGTTTAGGAGCCAAATCCATCGATCTGATTAGGACAGGAAATATATACGAACCAAATGCATGCCTTTCTCCTAATCTTGAGATACCTCATATGAAAACATTGTTTGGATGCACCACTATTCATTTTGGAATACCATATTTGTGTTACATAGTATTATCTGATGTGACCAGAAGAATCATAAACATCGTCAACCAAATGCCGACACGCACACATACACACATATATGATTATATATATATATAAATGTGTGTATATATGTGTGTGTTATATAAATATATATGAGTGTATGTATTTAGTAAAATCTATTATATAATATCCATCATCCATCAATATCCATTAGTGCCCGCTATCCGGTATCTATTCTCATGTCAGGTTATGGCATTTGTGGAGGATCATCCCACTTAGCAAGTGGTAGCCCTGGTTATCCAACGGTTAAAAGTTAAAACCCAAGTTACAAGCCAAGTTAGATACAATTTATTTCATGTCTTTGGTACAGTATGGGCGTTCCGGAAAATAGAGGATGCTCAAATGTTCAGCCATGAAACAATATATGGGGAAAATATGGGACAATTATGATTGAGTGGATTTTATGGGTATCGTATTTTCAGACAACCCATGTGGCAGGGTCAAAACATGGTATATGTCAGTATATGTGGTATGGTGATCCATCCGCCAATGATAATCCAAACATACGGTCATATGAATCCTTGTCCCCATAGGATCCATGTATGCTATAGATGGTAACATTTACTATAAATCTACCCCAAATGTTAGCATATATACCATACATGGATCCTATGAGCCTATGGGTATGAAAATGGATTGATTATTCACATCCCGCGTACGGACCGGGTATCTCTCGCCATCGACCATGGCACTGCAGATGTACCAACCAGTGGGATGATTCAATCGTCCACCGTGAAGTCATATTGTAATTCATCCAAATATGATATCGTATTATCGCCTAAAAAACCCATTAAATCCCATTAAATCCCTAAAATCCCATGAAATCCCATGAAACCCCTTTTAAATCCTATGCTTCTGCATAAAACAACCTGTTTCTGCTCCGAGGAACGAGTGCCCGCCACCACCCGGGTTAGCACGAGGAACAGCAACCTCGGCCGAGCGCCAATCCAAGCGAGCCTTCTGGCTGCGACCTGTGGTTTACTGGGATTTAGCTGAAAATGGTTTTGACCAACAGAAATTGGATTTAACATGATTTAACCAACAAACAATGGGAATTGAATCACAAAACTGTGAACATGAACTTGAACAGCAAACAATGTGGATCTCACTCATCAGAATTGGGATATAAAACTTCAATTGACGCATTGCCAACCAAAAAAAATAATGTGAAATCATTTCACCAATAAACAGCAGACTATCATCAATATGGAAAACGACCACATCCTAGAGAAACAGCCGGTTCTGGATATCTAATCATTAACCAACATGGGGAAAAATGATGTTGTGTTTAGCTGCTGAGAAAAATATTCCTCCGCGTTTGGCAAGAACGCAACCCACTAACTTATCAACCCAAGGTTAAGCTAGTGACCCACAGTGGAGGTGATACAGTATGAATTTGGCTGTCTGTTCATCATCATTGAATGGCAATGACAATCAAAGTAAGTCCATCAAACTACCAACGTTAACCCCACGCGAGTCAACAAATGATGGATTGGTTGAACATCAGTTTGATCAGCCCACTCTGTCGTTGAACATGGTAGCCTGTTGGGTTTTGTAAACCGCATTAAACCAAAAAAACATGATCCCGATGCACCCTCCACTAAACTAACATAGCTATGGAAATCCATTTCCGTAACACATGATCTACAAATGGTGGATGTTCCATTTCTATGTTCGAAAAACTGGACACGATTTCCCAAGGATTCTAGCAATTTCTTGCCCACATTCCAGGGCCGAACATATTCCATGCCAAAATGGCTGGGAAAATTCAGGGAATTGCGAAGACCCCTTTCAGGTGAAATTTGTATTTCATACAGTTTGCCAAGTACTCCTTTTCTTCTGGCACGTACGTTGTCGACTGCACATGTTCTTCCCCAAAGAAGATCCTTACTTTCAACAATTTCTGGAAATGTCATAATTAACAATGTTGAGCTTTCCAAAAATGGATTAATAATGTTCTTATGGGAATTTGTCATCTACACTTTTCAGGATCTCAAAACCCAATTCATAAGCTTTAAGCTTATGTTCTGGCGCGCTTGGCTGGCCTCTCATCAGCAGCGCCATCCCCATCTTTCTTGACATCTTTGTGGCCCCGCAAAGAGCTCTGCACAACAGGATCTGGGAACACAAATCATCGACGATCCTGTTTTCTTCCGTGCAAAATATTTCCACCGATAGAGTACGATGCCACCCCTGGAGTGCGCTAATTTTCTGGAATACGAAAATAAAACAGTATGCGTGGCCCCCTTCAACCTTCCCCATGGATCCAACACCAGTTTTTTCCATCATATACAAGAAAATTATCACATTTCACCCTGCTGAGCTTTTTTTTTTTTTTATTTTTGGTCATTTTTGGCCAAAATGGCCTGGAATGCGATAGTATGTGAAACTACAGACGTCTCACGCGAAACCGCTACCTTGCCCATGTTCCAGAAAACGTGATTCCAGGCGATTTTAGCAAAAAAAAACAGAAAAAAAGAGAAAATCACCGAGTACGAAGATTTTATGGAGCGCGAAGATCTTGCAGAGTGCGTGGATTTTACAGTATGTGTACGTCCCTAGCTGTGGAGTGCGATGCCCTCGCTGGAGTGCGAAGAATTTGTGGAATGCGAAGAATTCCGAGTATGCGTGGCTGGTATAGAGACCACATGGGGAAATTTCGGGGCCAGAACCAAAATTCCAATCCCAAAGCCAGCCCAAACTTCCAGGGGCACACCGTGGGTTCTATTTTTCCGAGTTCACCTTGGGTGAGGTCCCGGGGAAGAAACTTGCTAATTTTTACTCAGCCAACCTTTAAAAACGTTACCTTTGACAACCCTGTCCTGTCCTTCTTCGGTAGACAAATGAGGAAACTTCCTTATCAAAGCAGCCTTCAATTCATTCAACGTCCACAGCTGCTTTGGAACGACATAGGGGATAGAAAGCTGTGGAGGGGCATTCAGTGGATTCGCCGTGGGCCAACTGTTCCCTCCAGATTGAGCTGAAATGCCTATCAAAGTAACATACCAAAACCCAGGTCTGGAGTACGATGAAAACATGGTATGCGAAGATTTTCTGAATATGGGAATGTTGTGCCTCTAGAAGGATGTGAACCAAACTGGATCCGTAAAAAGAACTGCGTTTACTCACGATGCCATGGATCCGTTTCTCTGAAAATAAGGCGCCCCATGGCGCACCAAACATCTAATGGTTCATTTCCCCGTAAAATGGCACACCCATTTTCAGTTTCAACCATCAGGCTAGAGACATATCATGACACATCTACCAGAAAACCACAAGTTATTGTTTATGCAGTTTCATGGCCATCTCAGTTCCCCTTCATTTTTTCTGGTAAGTAAATACATGGATTCAAAATATCTTGCGATAGACTCCAACCGGACTCCAACCTCTCTCTCCATCTCTCTCTCTCTCTATATATATATAAGTGTAGAAACTATGTACCTCATATTTCGGGGTTTCCAACTTTTCTATTTTAGGCTTACTATATGACGCTATATGACTTACAAAGTCCTGTACAAAAGTGCAATAAAGTGCTCATCCATTTAGTTCCCGTTCCTGTAATCAATAGAGATTTCGTTCGGCTGGGAAATTCCATTGAAATACAGACTTATAGCTGGCAAAATCATCGAACTACATGGTAAGCGGCTCACAGAACGCCGCCTGTTTTTCCAACCGGGGCGAGTTCATGTTGTCTGTGTTTTCTCAAGGGTTTGTGCTTTGTTCCCTTTTTTAACTCTCTGAAATCCTGCGACAAACTGCTTCATTTTTTTCAATTTCTTCCTGTAAGACTGTGTTCTTTTGGTTACCATATTCAATAATCAGGAGCGTGTTAGACGTTACTTGAAGAAGTGCAGAGCGTAGCATCAAGAGCGTATCAGAAGTTACAGTGCAGAGCTTAGTATCAAGAGCGTGTTAGAAGTTACTTAAAAAAGTACAGAGCGTAGCATCAAGAGCGTGTTAGAAGTTACTTGAAGAAGAGCAGAGTGTAGCATCAAGAGCGTGTTAGAAGTTATTTGAAGAAGTGCAGAGCGTAACATCAAGAGCGTGTTCGACGCAGTCAGTGTGAACATGACGTTATTACCCACCCCACCCCACCGTACCGACACGTTACGGACAAAGAGAAGAGCGTGGCATCGAGAGGGTGTTAGACTCAGTGTGAACATGACGTTGTTACCCACCCTATGCCCCACCCCACCCCACCCTGCCGACACAGAAACGAACGCCGCCGGCAAACTACATGGTGGCTTTTCACCTGAGGCTAGCTATTGAACATGAGAAATTGACCAACTTTTAGATAAATTACTTGTTTAAAATGATGGAACATATGAAGTTCAATAGCTATGTTGAATTACAAGTATACCGTAAAAATAATACGGACATATACGGACCATCCGCTTATTATCAGGGGTTTACTATTATAGTTTACCACATGATATTCTTTGGAAAATATGACAGGTCAATGTGAAATGATTCATATAGGATTTGTCCTTGTTAGATTGCCGATTACGGCTGTGGTACCCCTTTTTGAAGGTCGAGCATCTCACCGTCCCGCCCTTGTGCACCCAGCAACTGTCTCAACATGGCACACTTTGGATGAGATTGGAACTGCACGAGGTACACGCAGAAAGGCGCACTTGAGCTCGGAAGTCGCTGAAGGACGCGCGATTCACGAGCCAGAAACGTGCCAGGTTTTTTGACAAAAAACAAACCATGCCCACATCAGCGGTGTAGTGTTGTTTGTTTATCCAGACCGTGCTGTGGATTTTTATTTGAATAATATATATATATATATGTATGGATTGGCAAGTTATAATAATTCACTAACCTGAAACTTGCGGCCATTTTGGGGTGATTCCCCTTATTAACCATGATTCCAGGGTTCGGGAGAACAGTGAGGCCATTATAATTTGCCCAAATATGTATATATATATAAATATATACAGTATATATATGTATATATATATATGAATATACTATTTAAATTATCCATTATAGTAGGATTTTCCATTATAAACGATCCATTTGGGGATACCCCCATTCCAGGAAACCCCCATTTATTTTTTTATCCTTGTTTTTTATTGGCAGCCAAGCCCCAGCCACTGAGATCGAATCAAGCCTTACCGGCTTACCCGGCAAGCTAATCAAACATTGCTGAAAAATCACTTACAAATTGAGGTTGATCATAAATTATGGCTAATGGAAGTGGATGTAAATGAGCTTTTAATTTCGCCGATGCATTATTATAATTTGAGGTGTAAATTGGAAAATATTGGAATAAAATGAAATAAACTATAAAATCTATATTTATCAATAAATTTTGCTAAATTGCCATGTCTGAGCACCGGTATAAACACTGTTACAACTAGGCTGGGCACAATGTCCAGATCACCACACCTTCGATCTCTTGCTGATCTTCACGGCCGCCTTACGCTCGTGGGACCGGAGCGTGGCCGAATACACGGTGCCTTGGGCGGGCGCCGCGTCGAAGGATGAGTTGACAACGGGAACAACAAGGGATTTTAGGTGTCAAAATGTGGATTTCACTTGTGATTTCACAATGAATATGTTTTTTTAGATTTTACTGAGAAAAATGCACGGGAGGAATGAGAGTACTTTATCCATCAACATGGGCGAACATATTGTTTAACTGGAACCATTCATTTTTGGGATTAATATGTTTCAATTTTGACTCATACCGAATGGAGACTTCAGCACGAAAAGCTGAGGTCATCTACCTGAAAAAACAACAACTCCAAGCGCCTGTTACGTTTTTCTAGGTGGTCATCACTTTAGTTTCTTTTCATATGTATATATATATATAGGTTCGTCCAATTGGGGACCATTGTTTTCACTTGAACAACATGACACCAACAGGACACCTTGGATGATCATATGTGAGTCCCCTCATGTTAGTAGATTCCCTTTCTTAGATATCCTGCCCCAAGAACGTGTTGGTTAGCATACACCCATATATCAAATCGGATTCAAATACTAGAGTAGCCATGCAGATTGTTTCCCAAGTTTCAGGAACCAAATTTCTTTTTAACCACCATACCATCTTTTCGGTAATCAAATGTGGCAATGGAAACAACATGGAAAATATCCCTGAACTAATTGGAGGTTTAGTTCGCTGCGAAAAATATCCGGACATCTCTTGCTGGTGGATTCAACTGATTCAACTCCGCTCCTCTCAGCCCAAGGTTCCAAAAGAGCCCCGGCCAATGGTCTCCTTAAGGTCCGGCCATCTGGCCAAACCCTGGTGATCCAACCAATCTATGGCATAGATTCGACCTGGTATTAGCCCCTAAATTATGGGATACAACGACAAGAGTGGGGCTGATTTAAGGAAATATTTACAGTTGGAAACCAAAGATCTGACTCCAAGTTTTTGTGTTTTGTGTTTCTCGATGCTTGAAAACATGAAGATCTAATGAGGGGAACAGAAGTGACGCAACCAACAATAACCAACATACAATGGTAGGATCCAAATATAAACAATGCGATCCAATCGCCAAGAAATGGATGACACAAGAAACTTACGATAAATGGGATACTTGAAGCGGATCAGAACGGGGAACAATCAAGTGGTTCAACCAACAGTGGCATTTTCCCTTACACATACCGAAATGTATTGACCTAGCTGACTAACATTCACTAACTCCAACTCACATGGAACATAAAATGGATGTGGGTCAAAATGGAAGACCTAGGGGACCACAGATGTTAGTCTAGCTTGGTATTAACCATCCATAATTTTGGGGTACCTAATTTTGACCCATAGCCAAATGATCTTGATCAATTCAGGTTCAACAATAAGTGTTGGGATGTTTATGGTGCCGGGCATCTGGGAGGCTCGCGACTGTTGTCATTTTTTGCATCATACGATCAACATAACATTGGGTGGGGGGGTGGGGGGTGGGGTGGGGTGAGGTGGGGTGGGATAATAACGTCATTTGCACGTCCACACATACGTGATGCAACATTACTGTACGCTCTCTTGCACTTCATTCATATCTGACATACGTCATGCTACGCTGCTGTAGGTTCTCTTGCACTTGCACACACACACGTCATGCTATGTATATAGGTTCGCTTGCGCTCCCACACATACGTCATGCTACGCTGTAGGTTCTCTACGTTCTCTTGACGATGATGATGATGATGATGATGATGATGTTGATGATGATGATGTTGATGATGATGATGATATTGCTTTTGCAACTAAAGTTTCACTTTTGAGCCATTGCAATTCTCCATATAAAATGTTTGAAACGTGACGACAGTCGCGAGCCTTTTAGATGCCCGGCACCATGTTTATGCCTATGCACAACGGGGCCAGGGGCAACATCAAGCAACACGCATGTAGATGTATAGCCATCAACCACACAATCGCCACCCAATACTTATTCAGCGGGTGTCCCGGCCAAAAAAAGGTTAAACCTTTTTTGTTGGGTTCACACGAGAATTTGGGGCATAGAAAAGGGGGCAGTTTCGCGCGCGAACCCAACGACAAAAAATAATAAAGTGTAGCCACTCGCTGAGTTAGAATCGGGTCTCCAAAATAAAGCTCCTCCCAAATTAACCAATGGGAAACAAAACAAAGTCACCTTCGGCAAATACAAGTACTCCCTTGTGGGTCATAATTCCAGCTAGTGGCAGCTAGCAATCCTGTCAGCTAATCCAGTCAATCCACTCAGATCTTGTTTTGCGGCATATATAGAATGCTATGAATTGCGGGTGAACCTGACGGTATATGAGCAAATCCAAAATTAATATTTACGGTTAGTTCAATTCTTGAATATCCTGCTTATATCCCATCAAACCATGACATTCAAATAGGATCGCAGTATGTCTGAATGATTTTTTACATCTCACCAAACTGAAAAAAAAGGCTGTGGTGGATCAAATTCCCTTGTTAACCACCATTAAGGTCGTTACAACTTCCATCAACTTCCCCATATTGTATATGCCCATGATATCGCCCTTGATGTTCCCTTGGTCACCCAGGTGGACGGATCCAAGACGCTCCAATTTCCACCACCTCCTTGACATTCTCATCACTGGTGACCTGTGGTCGGTGCCCATCGTTGCTAGTTTCAGTGGGAATTCACATGCATGATGTATATGTATATGTAAATACGTATATTTGCAAATATGTGTGGGTATACATATATATAAATATATATACATATAGATATAGATATAGATATAGAATAATAATATATATATATGTTCATTACGGTAATCTATTCATCAATTTATCCATCTATGCATCCATCTGTATTAAAACCCAAGAAGAAGGATAGTCAGCATCTAAACACTTTCGAGCTGGCATCACTTTTGTCATTCGATCCATCAATTTCAAAGCTTGGCAAATGGGCCATACCTCTATACCCTCGAGTAAGCTATATAACATACCTATGGGAGATTGTCTATTTATATATAGATGATTTACCTATTAAAAGTGGCAATTGTCCATAGTTATTATGTTAAATTACTGAAAGGTAAGTAATTAATTCAATTGAGCTTGTTCTTCTTTCTCATTGTGAATCGATCCTTCCTGAAAACTGGCATCATATGGCATCATTATTGGATATTATTGGACGCAAAACACTATGCTGTACAGGAAACGACATACGCTGATGGATTTCAATCATGGCAGCCCAGCCGGAACGGATTACTTTATTGTCTTTGGGTGAGCATCGGGAAATCAATCCCTTCTTCCTTTGTCACCATATCAGCAACTACCATTTCAAATAAGTGCGAAGCGCTGTCAAAAATGAGACATCAGAAAGTCTATCGTCTCCCCGGTTCCCCCGATGTCGAGAACATGATTCTATTGAGTTTTTCTACCTACAACCCCGAATACATTCATCCCGATATATGCCTAAACCATCCTAAACCCGCATGTCTGCGGGTCAGAAGTACTGTTTTTTTTGCTGATCAACTGCCCATTTTCCCTATTTGCTCTAAAGCATCAATAATTAGAAATCATGGATATATCAAAACCTAGCGATTTATCTGTCTACTTGTATGTTTATCTATGTATCTATGTATCTATGTGTTTATCTATGTATCTATGTATCTATGTATCTATGTATCTATGTATATTTCTCAATCTCTCTCTCTCTGCACCAATATATTTGAATATCTATGCCTATGAGGCTGGGCTGCCAGTATCTTTGTATAACACATGTATGCAAAGCAATGTTATAGGTCTGTATATATATATATATATGTATATATATATTTATGCATTTTTCCCGAGAGCGTCTGAGCGCAGGGTTCTTCCAATAGTGGGGGTCTGTATCTCATCTTCTCATCTTCACACCTTCTCATCTTCACATCTTCTCTCACACCTTCTCATCTTCACATCTTCTCTCACACCTTCTCATCTTCACATCTTCTCTCACACCTTCTCATCTTCACATCTTCTCTCACACCCTTCTCATCTTCACATCTTCTCTCACACCTTCTCATCTTCACATCTTCTCTCACACCTTCTCATCTTCACACCTTCTCATCTTCACATCTTCTCTCACACCTTCTCATCTTCACATCTTCTCTCACACCTTCTCATCTTCACATCTTCTCTCACACCCTTCTCATCTTCACACCTTCTCTCACACCTTCTCATCTTCACATCTTCTCTCACACCTTCTCATCTTCACATCTTCTCTCACACCCTTCTCATCTTCACACCTTCTCTCACACCTTCTCATCTTCACATCTTCTCTCTCTCTCATTCTCTCTCCTTTCTCTCTCTCCTTTCTCTCTCCTTTTTCTCTCTCTCGCCTTCTTTATCTTTCTCTCTTTAGGCCGAGGGTGGTACCAGCGGTGAGTCACGAAACGTCAACCCTTTCGCACGAAATGAGGGTCGATCGTCAAAAACTGAGGAAAAATTGCGATTTTACTTGTCCCGGAGCAACCCTTTCGCACGAAATGAGGGTCGATCGTCAAAAACTGAGGAAAAATTGCGATTTTACTTGTGCTAAACCAACCCTTTCGCACGAAATGAGGGTCGATCGTCAAAACCTGAGGAAAAATTGCGATTTTACTTGTCCCGGAGCAACCCTTTCGCACGAAATGAGGGTCGATCGTCAAAAACTGAGGAAAAATTGCGATTTTACTTGTGTGTAAAAGCGTCTGTGTGTAAAAGCGTCTGTGTGTAAAAGCGTCTGTGTGTAAAAGCGTCTGTGTGTAAAAGTGTTTGTGTGTAAAAGTGTTTGTGTGTAAAAGCGTCTGTGTGTAAAAGCGTCTGTGTGTCAAAGCGTCTGTGTGTAAAAGCGTCTGTGTGTAAAAGCGTCTGTGTGTAAAAGACTGTGTGCAAAAGCGTCTGTGTGTAAAAGCGTCTGTGTGTCAAAGCGTCTGTGTGTAAAAGCGTCTGTGTGTAAAAGTGTTTGTGTGTAAAAGTGCTTGTGTGTAAAAGCGTCTGTGTGTAAAAGCGTCTGTGTGTAAAAGCGCCTGTGTGTAAAAGTCTCTGTGTGCAAAAGCATCTGTGTGTAAAAGCGTCTGTGTGTAAAAGAGTCTGTATGTAAAAGGGTCTGTGTGTAAAGCGTCTGTGTGTAAAAGGGTCTGTGTGTAAAGCGTCTGTGTGTAAAAGTGTTTGTGTGTAAAAGCTTCTGCGTGTAAAAGCTTCTGAGTGTAAAAGCCTCTGTGTGTAAAAGCGTCTGTGTGTAAAAGCGTCTGTGTGTAAAAGCGTCTGTGTGTAAAAGCGTCTGTGTGTAAAAGCTTCTGTGTGTAAAAGCCCCTGTGTGTAGAAAGCGTCTGTGTGTAAAAGCGTCTGTGTGTAAAAGCGTCTGTGTGTAAAAGCGTCTGTGTGTAAAAGCGCCTGCGTGTAAAAAGCGTCTGTGTGTAAAAGCGTCTGTGTGTAAAAGGGTCTGTGTGTAAAAGCGTCTGTGTGTAAAAGCTTCTGTGTGTAAAAGCGCCTGCGTGTAAAAAGCGTCTGTGTGTAACAGCGTCTGTGTGTAACAGCGTCTGTGTGTAAAAGGGTCTGTGTGTAAAAGCGTCTGCGTGTAAAAGCTTCTGTGTGTAAAAGCGTCTGTGTGTAAAAGCGTCTGTGTGTAAAAGCGTCTGTGTGTAAAAGCGTCTGTGTGTAAAAGCGTCTGTGTGTAAAAGGCTCTGTGTGTAAAAGCGTCTGTGTGTGTAAAAGTCTCTGTGTGTAAAAGCGTCTGTGTGTAAAAGCCTCTGTGTGTAAAAGCGTCTGTGTGTCCAAGCGTCTGTGTGTAAAAGCGTTTGTGTGTAAAAGTGTCTGTGTAAAAAAGCCTCTGTGTGTAAAAGCGTCTGTGTGTAAAAGCGTCTGTGTGTAAAAGGCTCTGTGTGTAAAAGCGTCTGTGTGTAAAAGCGTCTGTGTGTAAAAGAGCCTATGTGTAAAAAGCGTTTGTGTGTAAAAGCGTCTGTGTGTAAAAGCGTCTGTGTGTAAAAGCGTCTGTGTGTAAAAGTGTTTGTGTGTAAAAGTGTTTGTGTATAAAAGCGTCTGTGTGTAAAAGCGTCTGTGTGTAAAAGTGTTTGTGTAAAAGTGTTTGTGTGCAAAATCGTCTGTGTGTAAAAGCGTCTGTGTGTAAAAGTCTCTGTGTGTAAAAGTCTCTGTGTGTAAAAGTCTCTGTGTGCAAAAGCGTCTGTGTGTAAAAGCGTTTGTGTGTGTAAAAGGCTCTGTGTGTAAAAGCGTCTGTGTGTAAAAGTGTCTGTGTGTAAAAGAAAGAGCCTATGTGTAACAAGCGTCTGTGTGTAAAAGCGTCTGTGTGTAAAAGCGTCTGTGTGTAAAAGCTTCTGTGTAAAAGCTTCTGTGTGTAAAAGCGTCTGTGTGTGTAAAAGTCTCTGTGTGTAAAAGTGTTTGTGTGTAAAAGTGTTTGTGTGCAAAATCGTCTGTGTGTAAAAGCGTCTGTGTGTAAAAGTCTCTGTGTGCAGAAGTCTCTGTGTGTAAAAGTCTCTGTGTGCAAAAGCGTCTGTCTGTAAAAAGTTCTGTTTATGAAAAACTTTACAAAAATACGATGCAAACTATTGTCTTGTACTAGTCATATATTGTCTTGATACTACTCTTCTCGTCTGCCTATAATACATCTTTAATATAGTGTCTCCATACTAACAACAGAAGACTCTGCTCCTCTACGCTCTCGGGCCATCAGTCGTCTAGTTTCAGTATGCTATATAATATAATATAATTATATATATATACAAGAATATAAAGGCCTACCTTATCAACCATTCACCTAAACCCTTCGGCATCCATTCGCCCCGTCGCCTGCAGTAGGCCTTGGCTCGGCCCCGCCATGGCGGTTAACACAATGGCCACCACCATAGCGCCCGCGTCGCACAAGTCGCCTATAGAAATTAGGGACCGGGGACCCCAGTAGGATCTGGGATTTGATGGGATTTTGTTTCGGGTTTTATGGGAGTTACCCTAGGATAAACATACAGAAAGATGTGGAAAACCCATGGTTTCCTTGGGAAAAGAGTCTTGAAATACTGGATTTTGAAGAGAAAATACATCGAACTGATCATTTTTGTAATAGAAAAACATATAAAATAGTCACGTGCTGTGTGTATATGTGAAGTGAATGCAATCAATATTCATGACTAACCTAGCCATTTTTAACTCACATGGTGCACCCAAACGATGAGCTTGTTGGTTTATTAATTCAACAAACTCCTACGAACCATAGTAAACAGTCCTCCATAAACATCCATGAACCTAGTTATCAACCAACTTAGCTATCGTTTGGGGATGTAAGAATGTTATATAAATAGTAATCCTGGAGTAGATATAGACTGAAATAAAACAACAACTGTTCAACACCATCATCATAAAGAAGGGAAAACACACGAAAATCCCAAATTCCATCTACGTCAGGATGATAGCATACATGCATATATGACAAACACATCGATTGAAGCCATGGGCCATGGATACTCATGGAAAGGTTTTTGGGTTTCAACGAGGAGGCTAAAAGAAACTGAATCACAAACACGAGCAGCACCTCCCCCAAAGACGAATACATGAACTTGAGTGACTTGAGGGATTTTTTTGAATTCACACTGTAAGTTTAACATGGAACTGAACAAGGATCATATTCAGTAGGAAAACGATCTTGCTGCAATGGATTGATTTTGCAAGAGCCTCCTTTTGCTCTAAACTGTCTCTGGACCAATGACAAGAATGGAAGGTTGATGGCACGCTAGCCTCCATCGAACCTGGCAATGGAAAACTGGTTTTCTTCGTCTAGGAATCCTAGGAACATCCAGTTGAACCGGTTGGTACGGTGCAAATCAAAACCCTTTATTGGTGCCATGCTACCAGCTTGAACTGGTGGAAATGAAAGCACTTGTTTGAAGACATGACATCTTGTGACTTGGCTAAATTGGCTTATCAGCACATAATAATGCATTTGCAATTTAATTGTGATGGGTTCATGGTAAATAGTTGATTGGTCCATGTTCAACCTCTAGGACTCTAGGATTTAAATTTTCAGTTGTTATTCTTTTTCAAGGTTTACCCTCCAGTTATCTAACATAGCTATGGAAACTGACCCGTTTATATGACAAACAAAATGACTTGCCTATTAAAAATTGTGAATTTCCATGGCTATGTTATAAATCATTAGAAGGTCAGATTTATTTCCCAACCATGGAGCTAGCAAATAGAACTGGATGGGTCGTTTTCAATAGCCAACTGTTAGTTTCTTGGAGGGTATGGGTATGGCCCATCAAATCTATTAAAATCCCACACAACCCCCATACAAATCACCATAAAATCCCATGGAAATCCCCTTAATTCCCATAATGGCAGAGGGTACACTAGAGTGAACATGTACAGTTCGATAGTAGATCACATGTTCCTAGGAAAACCATGGAGAAACCCATGAAATTATATAGATCATGCTTGCTCCTTGGGTAATTATATGGTTATCATGGTATACCCTATGAATACGTCTATCACATGGTTTGTTCATTTAACCATTAGTTTTTACCATATAGTTATAAGTTACAACCATATGATAAATTTACCATGGGTAAAAGCCACATGTAAACGTTGACCCTAGGGAGGTCAATGGTTATTTTAAGCATCACCGTAACGCCTCGGGCCCCAACATTCACCCAGAAAGCCGCCGTAGCAGGGCGTCGACTTCCTAGGGATGGTTCAGTCCAAGTTCGTGGGGATAGAGTCATGAAGATAAAACACACAGTGGATGGTATAAACCATCTTGAAAAATATTAGTTTTCAAAAACTCCAGAAGCAGTGGGCACTGGAAGGGCGACTGAGCTACTATAGCTAGTATAGATTAGTTACTATACTGGTTGGTGGTTTTAACCATTCCAGTTATGAACAGTGGCAATTGATAGTGGCAATTTTTAGGTAAACCACCAGTTATGAACTGATTGGTGGTTTTAACCATCTTGAAAAATATGAAAGTCAATTGGGATTATTATTCCCAATATATGGAAAAATAAAATTCATGTTCCAAACCACCAACCAGTATATCATGGGGATATGTTTTGGTGATATGGGATATGACTCAATGATATTATATATATGTGTGTGTGCATGTATGTTGTACAGTAAGCATACCTACATGATTTGAGTATGAAAAATCAACCAACATGGCGGACTTGACGGGAAAAAGTGTGATAAACTACTGACTTGAGGGACCGTGTTTTCAAACATACCCATGATGTGTTCGACAACCTAGGAGCTGTAAATTAAACTTGGTTTACAATTGATTTTGCGATATTAGAAGAGGCATGGCATCATCAACAGGGATCGGGATGGGGAGTAAAAATAGAAGTCCTGCAGCTACTCCTTGGCTTATAAAGGTTCCAAGTTCTAGTTATCAATAGTGCTAAAATGTGGTGAATTCACAACAATTCAGAGGCGACCATTGTGCTTTCTGGGCTGACTTTCTCGTTGGTGTTCCCTGGTCTAATCTTGAGGTCTTGTGGGGTTCCAACCATTTGGAAACTGACCTTAGTTATTCAAACCACTTCCAGGGGAAAAAGAAGACTTCTGGCTGCTCAAAAGGCGTAACTCCCTATAAATCCCGAGTTTCCATGTTCCAAGCATCTCTCCGCAAACACATTTCTAACCTATAGTTGCTAATATTCCCTAGCACTTCGATGCCTGGTTGAGGGATAAGAAGGAATACCTCTCAAACGACACCTCTCCATCATATTCAAGAAACACTGAACGTCATTTGTATCCAACTGCCAACCCTGTTGATGTGAACGCATTCACCCACCAGTCATCGCGATGAACACCAAGTGACATGCTGGCAGTTGCACGTGCACCCTCTTGGGCTGCTGTGGCAATGGCATCCCAGGGCAAGCTGATCTCCTGACGGGCGCGTCATGCCAAATAGATGAAGAAGGTTAGACGTACATGTGATGTAAAAACTGAATGCATGTCTACGTATGTACGTGTATATATATATATATGTGCATATATATATATATATGTATATGTGTGTGTGCGTGTGCGTGCGTGTCTATGTATACCATATGTATCAATATTGCTAAGGGCATGCAGATAAGTATGCAATCTACATACACAAAAAAACATGCATATATGTATGTATATATATATATATACATATATACACACGTCATGATAAACATATGTATACATATGCATAGATTGCATAGATTGGATACATATACATATAGATATGTCACTGTGATAATGCGTATAATATAAATATATACACACACACCAATAATGTACAATCAATTACATTTAATTATATACACATGTGCGTCTCCATGTGCGTCTCCAGTCTCCTCGCCAAAATCCTCATCTTCTTCCTGGAAAATCCCCCCGTGAATGGAGGCTTTGATGGGAACATCATTCCTAAATGGATCTATAAATGGAGGATTTTCCAGCCGGCCATGATGACAAGGGATGGTAAAATTGGTAGGAAATATGACCATCAACAGTAACAAACCTGGTGTGTAACCCATGTACTACGCATAAAACCTGGGTTGATGTGGTTGTCAAGCAGGGGATGCACGCGGACAATAATGAAGTTCAATGAAATCCACCACCAGAATGAAACGCTGACTTTTCACCTCCAGAAACACATGATTGTTTGTTTCAATGGATTGGTTTAAGGGAAAATCTACAGGAAACCATCGATTTTCCCATTAAATATGGGGCTTTCTTGTAAATTTTCCTTTAAACCAATCCATTGTTTGTTCTGCCAATATTCCCATTTACACTCAGGGATCCCAGTAGTCTAAGCTGGCAATGGAAAACTGCCGCAGTGAGAAGTGTCCGATTGCCAGGTTTCTGTGGCAGTTTTCACTGGCTTAAAAAACCGTGGCGTAACCGTGGCGTATCCTCTGGTAATTTAACATAGCTATTGAAAATGGTGATTTATAGTGGATTTTCCCATTACCCTCTGGTAAACTAACATAGCTATGGAAAATCACCATTTTTACTATATATGTAAATCAACTATAAATAGCCATTTTCAATAGCTATGTTAGTTTACCAGAGGGTACATATGGTGATTTTCCATAGTCATGTTAGTTTACCGGAGGGTATCGGTCCCCAACCTTTGGAGATTCAAATCGAAGTCACAGGGCTGTTGGATCGCCAGAGGGTCAAGCATGGTCAACATGTTACCCTCTGAAAAATATGAGTTCGTCAGTTGGGATTAGTGTTCCCAATATATGGAAAAATGATGAAACATGTTCCAAACCACCAGCCAGTTTTGAGTTTTTTTTTGCAACCCCCATATAAAATATGAAGCGAATCAATTGGGAACATCCTCAGTGCAAGTGGAAACCACAGGTTTTTCATGTGTTCATCCCAAATCGGGTTTGACACTGACGCCACAGCAACAACTATTTTCAAAACCATGGCGCCGCTTCGCTTCCAGTGCTGCTCTGACGACCTTACCCAGCTGATGACCCGAAGAAACGTGAACATTTGCTCCTTGTTTCCGTTTTCAAAAACTCAGAAGCAGTGGGCAGTGGAAGGGCGACTGAGCTACTCTATAGATTAGTTATTATAGATTGATATTCCCATGCATCCACATCAAATGCTTGGTTTAATCAGTTTCATCTCCTTTTTGTTGGTTGAATCCATCTGTTCTTTGCCGGAATTTTCCCTACTACCTCCCTGCCAAGTGGCCCCAAGCCATCAGAAGGTGGCTCAGCTCTAAGCCGTCTTCATCATCCGCCACAACCGAGGGATTTTCGCCTGTACGGTACCCAAAAAAAAGTCCTAGAGCCTGTAGCCTTAAGTACTATTGAAAAGCTATCCGTTGGATGATCAACGAACCACATGTATATAATTTATATACTGTAAAAAATATACACAAATAGACATGTATCATATATATATATATATATTTTTATATATATATTCAGGTGTATACAAATAGTTACAAATATTGTTTGTCACTAATTAGCCTTTGGGAATTTAAGAGTTTGCTATGGAAACAATACTAGTAACTATACACGTTTCAATAGCACTTGCTATATGATGTGGAGCCGTTAGCTTTTGGTTCCCCTCGCAGGGCATCAGAATGCTCACAGAGATTTTGTGATCCTTGGAGTAACGAGATGTTCAATGGATTGGTTTAAGGGAAAATCTACAGGAAACCATCGATTTTCCCATTAAATATGGGGCTTTCCTGTAAATTTTCCCTTAAACCAATCCATTGAGATGTGAAAACACGCATGGTGCAGCCCAAAGGAACATATGATCTAAACTTTCATGATGAGTTTCTCCACATCCATGTCAACGTCGAGGGTACCCTCTGGCAAAAAAAATGCTGTGCTAGGAGCTGCTAGGATATATCACCATTTCTAAAGAAACATCATCCAACTGAAGCAATGTTCCAAAGCACAGTGATAAATTACCAGAGAGTAAGCAAAAAAAAAGTCACCTGTAATTCTTGATGTTTATCATTGAAAATTCAGGTACCCTCTGGTAACCAAACGTGGCACTTGAAAATCCACCTATAAATGCAGGTTTTTGGGGAAACACATGGAAAACCAACAATATACATGGGATATTCCCCATTATCGTTGATGATCCAAAGTGTTCTTCCTATCTCTGCAGTTTTTCCCTTTCTTCAAGCGCCTTCATCCGCTGAAACCTCTTTCTGGATGCTTTTCCCAACCACCCGCAGGGCCGGTAGTAAGGCATCAAGGAAGGTTCCTAGGGGCCGGTGAAAGGGTTTGTGTTTTGGTTTTCTAGCTCATTAGATGTTAATGGTTTCCTAAAATAGGGTACCCCAAATCATCCAAAATCTGACCATTTTAAAGTATTGAAACTACCCCCCATTCTAGGAAACCACCTATGCACTTGGATGTGCATCCTAGTTAGGAGAAGGGAAACACTGAAAGCATCAAAGAAATAAGAACTATGCCACTTCCATGTGGGCTATCCCCAGCATACTGGGATTGCGCATCCAACCAAACATCATCTGCCAATTTATGTTGGTGATATCGCAATGGTGATATCCCAGCTGTGACCTGGCGCCCTTGTGACCATGGTGACGTTCCAAAGTTCCATGGGAGCTTCATCCCATTTAAAGTGACTGGTCAAAAAAACTCCATGGTTGGTGGTGCCAGGTCCGCCAGGTCAGAGCTGGAAAAACTCCAGGAACTGGGGAGAAGCTAACATTCTGAACACCACTAATTGAGGGCACCACTGGACTACTTGGGATGACTGAAGCATCCAGCTTGGTAGTAAGAGGATCTTCCAGCAGTATGATCAATGCACACTGATTATTCCGATTGACGTCTGAATTTTCGGAAATCCTCAAGTGACAGCCCCACACATTTGTTTCTGGATATGTTTTCTCACTTTGCTATGCAACTATCCAGCCTCCCAGATTGCTATTGCAGTGAAATTGCTCTGAGTAGTTGACTACCCCTGCATAGGAAACACAACACATACACACACATATATATATATATGCTTATTATGCATATATAAAATACATAAATACATAAATTTAAAACAAAGAACACACACACACATATATATATATATATAATTTGTATATTAATATATGGTACATTAATATGTGAAGCATGATCAGGCCATGTCGGACCCACATATCGAAACAACTGGCTGGCGAGTTCCAAAGTGGACCAGGGGTCCTGGTCCAATCCTTTTGGGTTGGTCAACCACTGTGAGGTTCCCAAGAATCTGCCATTGGTGCTTAATGAAATTCACATTTGGAAGTCAGGAATAAGTCAGGTGGCTCTGGTCTTGAAATAGGTACCCATCAATATTTCCCCAAACCCAAGTGTGTGCGGATAGTGCAGCGAAAAACAATTGGCTCCCAGTTAGGTCAACCATAGTCCTGATAGTTTTGAAATACTGTACCCTCTGGTAATTTAACATAGGGAACTGGAAAATCACCATTTTATAGCTGGGAAAACTCACTATTTCTATGGTCATTTTCAATAGCTATTTTGACATAACCAGAGGGTACCCCTACATCCATCCAGTACCAGTCGATCCCCCCCATGGCTACAAGGCCGGCCCAAGGCGCTTTGCCCTTCGCAACTTTCCGCCACGGCTTCGACCTTGGGGCCACATGCCGGGTGCCTGGATGACTTGTTTGTTTTCGAGGGAACCCCGTGGTGGTACCCCAAAATGGATGGTTTATAATGAAACGGATATGTTATTAAAATAAATAATAGATATATCAAAATGGATGATTTATAATTTATATATATATATATTTATTTATAATTTATAATGAACCATCTTATTAAAATGTATAGGGGCACTCCCATTTAAGAAACCTCCATATATCAACACTCGGATGGGGCAACAAAATCCAGAAACATGTAGCTATATAGGTACAGTAAGTACTCCATACCATGAATGGAACATATACCTGGTTGGCAGTTTGAATCCCGCCAAAATCAAACATATCATATGGATGTCTTGAGTGTGGCAATGGGAAACCCCATGGGTTGGAGAAACCACAGCGTGCCCCAATCTTCAAGGTATCAGTTTCAATGACAAGAAAACTTTCAGCTTTAAAAAAAACAACGCGCAATCAAGCACGGCTGGAAAATCACCCGGCCTAGTTCGATGATTTTCCCATTTAGATGCCAGGTTTGATCAAAACAGGTTAACAAATCATTCTGAGACAAAGCCAAAAAAAACACGTTGTTGGTTTAATATTCATGTATCTCATTATGTCCCCATCATATCACCGATGAATTCCATGAATAAGCTTAGAGCTCCAATATTGTATATTGGATAGATAAGTTGGATAGTAAAATATGTACAATCCCCAAACTAATCATCAAGCTTCCCAGGGGTGGAAAACCGAACGGGGGCACCCCAGGCTCCGCCAAGACACTTCTTGCTCTCCTGCGCAAAGGGCCGCATGAACATCTGCTGCTCTCCAAGGGAGATGGAAAGCACGTTTTCGGCTCCTGAACGTGCTGGGTACAAATTTCCGCTGGGAGGGGCATAGAACTGCTTATCCCCTGGTAATCAAAGATGGTGGACACTCTCCTACTACAATTAGGTATTTTAATAAAATTTTAATGGGACATTTTGCTGTAGATGGATGATTTTCCTTTGCCATGTCAGATTACTGGAGGCTAAAAAACCAGGGCTACAGGTTCGAACCTCAATGAACACACTGATAGCATTTTTCATCTCTGGTGGCTCCTGTGGAGTGACATGTTTAAAAAAATGTTTGAATGATTGCACAATTGACTTCCGGAACTCTGAAGCACAATATGTGATTTTTAAACATTGGTTCCCCTTTTCTCCTCTGATAGCTGTATGGCTTGGCTGCAGTATTTCCGTTGGACACACAACAAATGATAACAAATGCTACTGAGCAATAACAACTTTTACCTCCGTTCGCACGAATAAGACACCCTAAAGGACGCTTTGCGGAGCCGCAAACAGTCGGAAAAAAATGCATCCAAGGTTCTTCTTTTGACACTTCAGATCGAGTTTCTTCCTGGGATTGAGGCGCTAGGGTGGACCTTGACTGATCTATACAAGTCACGTTGGAGATGCCATCCCTTCCCCTAGTCACGGTGATTTTTCCTGCATCCCTACATGATTTTTTCCCAGGGTTTGGGGGTTGGTTTTGACCTTGTATGTTCACCCATTTCATTTTTTTTGCGAAGTTGTTTCCCAATTCTATCATGTTTTCCCACCAATATCTGATTGTTTGAAAGTCTTACATGTTTTCCCATGATTTTCACATTTTGTTCCGCGGTATTATCATTTTGTAAAGGCTTAACCCCAACTTGTTGCAATTGTCCTCAGTTGCAGGAATTTATTTGTTGGAGGACTGAATGAACCACAAGTCTTTCCATCTTCAACCTTTTCGGAAAACCCCAGTTTTTACACCCCCCAATGCCTATATGTTTTGAGCGTTCAATACCCATTTGTCCCAAATTTCACAATGTGTTTTCGATCTTTACCAAATTTCACCAAGTTTTCCCCCTATTAAATCCACATCTTCACCTTGATCACCAACGCACTTCCACCCGCCGCGCAGGGCCCAGCGTCTGGAGACGCTCCACGCCTTTCTGTGTGAGGTGCCGTGCGGCGCGGCTGAAGAAGACCGAGAGGAGGGCCTTGCTTGCTGGGAGATGACTGGGGGTGCATGGGCCAACCGAACATGGCATGTGTTGAGATGTTAATGATGCTGGAAGTGGATTTATGACGATATATGACGATTTATGATGATGATGATGATGATGATGGTGTATGATGATGCATGATGATTTTTGATTAATCGTCATTATCACTCATGATTGTTTCTGATGGTAGATAATGATTAATGGTTGTTCATGATGATTTATGCTGGTTCATGATGATGCACAAATGGATTTATGATGATTTGTGGGTTTGTTGTTGGGGTTTGAGCTGACTTCATTGGCTTTCGGAAATCGTAACTAAAAAATACGTTACTTCGAGTGATCCCCACCCTGACATTTTTTGGGGTCAAAACTTTTGACATATCATCTGGAAGTATAAATGGTAAAATCTTCTGACATTCTATTCTGGCATTCTGTCTGGCATACTATTGTGGCATTCTACCTGGCATCTATTCTGACATTCTATTCTGGCTTTCTGGCATGATTCTGACATTCTGTTCTGGCATTATACATGACATGCGTTCGGGCCCAGGGCACTCCACAGCCTCCTGGCACCGGGACCAGGCCCTCCACAGCCTACTGAGCTCGCCTCCTGCACTCGCGACGTGGCGTCGGGTCCAGGGCCAGTCTAGGGTCTTGAGCTCGCGATGTGGCACCGCAGTTGAGGTCCGGCAGTGCCCACTGAGATCTGGAGCTCGCTGTTGAGGTCCAGCAGTGCCCACTGAGATCTGGAGCTCGCTGTTGGGAGGAGGAGGAGGAAGGAGCAAGTAACTCTGATAAAATCTAGAGACCCTCACCTGGCATGTGGGGAACAACAACAAGAACCTGTTTTGGACGGATGTGTTTGCCACCATAGTAGCGATAAAAATTACAATTTACAAGTTTCAGCCAGGGGCAGAAGGATTTTCTGGGGACAATATGATATGTTATAGGCTGACTATATGACTGATCATAATTTAACAACTTATAAATCCCCATGCGTGGTGTGTATGGGGGGTCGTTTCAGAATTTATCCTGGATATATTTTTTGGGCCAAGCTTTCTGGTGCATGAAATGTCCATCGAAAAAATGGGCACAATCCTAAGGCGTACACCCTGCACAAGAAACATCCCAAATCGATTTTTCGAACCATAGGGGCAAGCATCTCTCGATAGGGTCAGGGTTCCTGGATCTTGAACGAATTATTTTGGTTTATTCAGAGATGTTGTGATTTTGTAGGGTTGTTTTGGCAACTTAGATGGTTGTCGGTTTTCTTCAATACAAATACAGTAATATATATACAGTATATATATATAGTTGGATTTTGCATGGGTTCCCCATTCCCATGCTGGGAATATCTGGGAATGGAACATCCCAGCCATTTCTACCGGATTAGACTGAATATTAATCAGCTGCAACCCGTATTTTTGAACAACCTTAATTAGGTGATTATCGTACCCACAAAAAAAAAAGCAGAGGGTAATACAAAAATAATATCATCAATCAAAATCCACCTGTTCCATCTACAGATATTACAGTCACCGTCTGTCAAACTAACAGAGATATGGAACAACGACCGCAAACAAAATATTTCCGAACGGGCCTCCCACGGATTTCCACGTTTTCCTATTTTTACTGGAAAGTTAAACGGTTTCTTAACCATCCACAAACTCGGTGTAGCTAATCATAACATTACTAAGTGGGCATTCCTACACACTACACACCATATACTACGACCGGATAGCCAAACATGGCTTGCTGGAAAATCATGATTTAGTTTGATGATCGTCCAATTTAGATGCTCATTTAGTTCGGGGATCGCCCAGCCCATGTTTGAATCGCGAAGCATATCTCCACTTACCGATCTTGGGGGCCCATATAGTCACGTAGATATGGAGCACCCACCATCAATCTAGATCATGTTTGAACAGGAAACCAATACATTTCCACAAAGAAACTATTGAACACGGCCCGTTCTAACTTTTTGGTTCGATGAATTGTATACCTATCAACATCAACATGATGACTTTCCGTATTCTATCATGATGGGAAACTCTCGGTAACTCCTTGGCTCCGCGTATCTGGCTCCTTTGCTCCCGCGCAACCCCTGGATTTTTTGAGCTTTCGAGCTATGAACTGGGACCCGAACTTTGGGCATTGGCTTGTCTAGTGATCGTACCACGCCTTTGTCAGTAATTAACGGAAAAAAATCACACAAAATCATACATATAAGACATTACAAGACCTAGTATTTACCATGAATCACCTTTAAAAAACATTATCAAACATGATTCGACTCTTTTCATTTTGTTCAAAGCAAAACCGGATTTGGCCATGACTTTTCCATACAGTTTCCATCTTAAAATCTAGAAAAAATCACCAGAAACCAACGGAGGTCTTCGTGGTCTGAGCCACTGAGAGCGTCCCATCGATGCCCCGTAGGAAATCCCCCAGGCGGAAGAAGAAGGGCGCGGGCCGCGACTCAGACAGGGCGAAAGTTGGCGGAACATGGAGCGAAATAACGAGGCGAACCGTTGGCTTGGGGGATTTATATAGATGGATTTAGCATACATATAACTATCTATCTATCAATCAATCAATCTATCAATCAAATCAATATTAATATATTTATCTCTATCAAATCTAACCTAGTAGAATATACCAAAATAATATAATAAAACATAATACAAGTATAATATATATAACATGTGATATATATATATAATATCACTATATTCATAATATATAGATAATAATTCGTAATAATGTATTCTATATCTGGATGGGATAATTAATACATCAATTTGATAGCTGGTGTTGCAGTTCCACTTTACAAGTTGCTATAATGATACTGCCAGAATCAAAGGAAGTATATCCCAACTTATGGCTGCAACGACATGATGGTTAGACCGAGCTATACCTATCATATTTAATAACCCCAACCGCCCCCCAAAAAACAACCCAATAAGACTAACCAACGGTTGATTCATCCCGGGTACGGTCATAAATTACTAAGTTTTACAATTTTACATTTTTTTGAAGTAGCTCTGGCTCATCGTGTAAATCGACCTCATGGGCCCCAGCTAACTCATTGTTTTTTTTCACGGCTGGGTAGAGCCCAGGGCGTTTCTGCCCAGCTCGTTTCCATCCCTTGGAATTTGGCGAGGGCCAGGCGGCCAGGGAGGCCATCATGAAAGCTATTTATCAATGCTTACCCCGTAAAGATTTACAGAAACATGTGGAAAAAAAACATGGGGCATCCCGGCCGGACCATGACAAACGATGGATTTTCCCAACTATGTTTATTTGCGCAGATGGGTACTATGAAAATAGTGACTTAGCCAGTTGACATACGGAACTTTCCAGGAAACTCCCCAAGGTTTGTTTCAGCAGCTGGTTCGCCGGGCAACCATGGGCAAAAGCCCATCGTTCAAGGCCTGAAGGACTAGCCTTGGGGCCCACTGCGATCATCCAAGCTATACTTCGATGGACCACAGAGCCAAGTAAGTGTGTAGTATATAACCCCATAGGATCCATGGTGCTGGTATATATGCTAACATTTGGGGTATATTGCTGGTAAATGTTACCATATATAGCAGCACCATGGATCCTATGGGTAAGTGATTTCCGGCATATCTCCTCGCAATATTGTGAAACCAATGCCATAAACCTACCCTGACCGGGGGCTTTGGGATGGTTCGGTTTATGGCCTTGGGTTTGCCAGAGTAACAGTGCTTCATGACATGGCATTACATCATCATCATCATCATCATCATCACCATCATTGTCATCATCATCATCATCACCATCATGGCCATCATCATGGCCATCATGGCCATTGCAATTGTGATCGTCATTTTAATTGTGATTGTCATTGCAACTGTGACTGTCAATGCCATCGCTATCGTCATCCCAATTAAGAATCTTAAGTAAATGTTCCAAGGCTTCCAAGGGTACTCCAAATAAGTATTAAACTGATTATTTATATTTATTTATCATTAATTCACTAAGGGTGAGCACTGTCGCCAATGGGGGTGATAATCCACCAGTACAGAACTGATATCCAAAGAATCTTTTGATGTATGGAAATCATCATTGAAACCGTTGAAACCACCAATTGGCTTAATAAATGTGCAAAATCGTGGCGTCAACATTCCAAGGTTCAAACTTAGTAGTTGTACTCATGACTTATGATACAACAAACAGAACACTGAACTGCAACATCCTCTGTCTGAGAACATCCATATTGATGGATGTTCTGTCCATGACTAAAGTAATATCTTGCAACCATGATTAAAGTAATATTTTGCAACCTCACTTCTTGCAAATGCAAATGTCATACATTCCTGTAGGTTTAAATGATATGCAAGGTGATTTGTCTCCGGTTGTTCTACATTCTGGTAATCAAACATGGCTGGCTGGAAAATCACTTCCGGAACATATGATTTTTCCATTAAAACCTCCATTTATCTGTCCCAGCTAGCTGGTCGATGACCAGTTGCTGCTGTTACCCCCAGAGCCCAAAAACAAAAACGTCACCAGGCACGCTGGTTTTTAGTCACCTGGGAGTTGTTTGAAATATCAATCGCGATTGATTGATCCTCTCAAGTTGCTTCGAACCCCCTTGGGGACCATTTTAGAACCCAAATATGGGTTCTAAAATGGAATCTACAAGGGGGGTCTTAGAACCTAAAATTTTTGGCCGCTATTCCGTTTTTGGGTTCTAAAATGGGTTCTGAAATGGTATCTTCCACCCTTAAAAAAAATCATTAAAAATCATCCAAAACTTTATATACTCGATGATGCACTCATGCGTCAAACTCTTCAACATCTTCACTCCTTGTAATGGTCCAATGTTTTCAAATCAACTGTTGGTATTATAGACCAATGCTGAAATATCATGAAATAGCATTAAGTAGCTGTATTTCTCTGCAACGTTGTTAAGGCCTTATTTGATCTTATTTGTCCTTCTGTGTATAGAGCTACATCTATGTGTTCTGGAATGGAATCCATGAGCCACAGATGTTGAATCACACTTTGGTACATGAAGGAAACCATTCTAGAACCCTTCCCTCCTCTCCACAAGAAAAATTGGGACATTCCAGATCAATGTGTTTCCAAATCAGCTGTTGGTATTGTAGGCCAATGATGAAATATCATGAAATAGCATTAAGTAGCTGTATTTCTCTGCAACGTTGTTAAGGCCTTATTTGATCTTATTTGACCTTCTGTGTATAGAGCTACATCTATGCGTTCTGAAATGGAATCCATGAGCCACAGATGTTGAATCACACCTTGGTACATGAAGGAAACCATTCTAGAACCCTTCCCTCCTCTCCACAAGAAAAATTGGGACAGTCCAGACCAGTGCGTTTCCAAATCAACTGTTGGTATTATAGACCAATGCTGAAATATCATGAAATAGCATTAAGTAGCTGTATTTCTCTGCAACGTTGTTAAGGCCTTATTTGATCTTATTTGACCTTCTATGTATAGAGCTACATCTATGTGTTCTGAAATGGAATCCATAGGCCACAGATGTTGAATCACACTTTGGTACATGAGGGAAACCATTCTAGAACCCTTCCCTCCTCTCCACAAGAAAAATTGGGACATTCCAGATCAATGTGTTTTCAAATCAACTGTTGGTATTGTAGACCAATGCTGAAATATCAATGAAATAGCATTAAGTAGCTGTATTTCTCTGCAGCGTTGTTAAGGCCTTATTTGATCTTATTTGACCTTCTGTGTATAGAGCTACATCTATGTGTCCTGAAATGGAATCCATGAGCCACAGATGTTGAATCACACTTTGGTACATGAAGGAAACCATTCTAGAACCCTTCCCTCCTCTCCACAAGAAAAATTGGGACAGTCCAGATCAATGTGTTTCCAAATCAACTGTTGGTATTATAGACCAATGCTGAAATATCATGAAATAAATTAATTAGCTGTATTTCTCTGCAACGTTGTTAAGGCCTTATTTGATCTTATTTGACCTTCTGCACTTTATGTACACATCCCCTTAATTTCAAAATTCTGCCTCGTTAATTCGGGGTGACGTCGTGACGTCGAATTAAATCGTACAGATACATCATCATATGGTATTATAATATATTATAAAATATATTCTATATACTGTATTATACAAGCTTCCAGGGTTCTACAATGCTTAGGGGACCGGGGGTTCTACAATGAAAAAAAATCATTCTAGAACCCTCCGTGTTTATCCCCAGGGGGGGGGGGGCATTCTAGAACCTTCCAACTTGAGGGTATATTGATTGCATATCCGCACGCTCTTGTTTCCCTAGTGCAAAAAATTTCTAGTTTTTCAAACTTCCAGAACTTAGTTCGTATCTTACGTAAACGGAATAAGGTTTCAAACCGATTTAAATATGCAGACCTAGCTAAATTCTATTGCTGCTTAGTCCTATATCCAAAAAATCATCCGCACGTCCACATCGCATGCCTACAAGATAGGCCCCCCAGAAATAAGTTGGTCATAAACTGCCCGAATGATAGATATATGTACTGTACAGTAAACCATGGTTAAAGGAGGGAAGAACCAGCTTAGCTTTCGTTTCAGGGCCTCACTTTGTATAACAGTGACATTGGGTTACAAACAAACATGCTTCACTCAAATGACTGTTACTGGATTTGTTTTTTCCACCTTAGCCATCACAAAGAAGCCAACAAAAACCCATCTATAAATCCCATGTCATACATCATTTAAACCCATATAAATCCCATATAAACCCCACGAAATACATTCTTTTCTTGATTAAATAATGTTAAATCAATGTTAAATCAAGTTCCATCACCATTTTCCCTGGTGAAATCCCATGAAATCCCAATTTTCCCTGGTGAAATCATCAATTTGTCCCATGGTTTTTCGTGCCATAGTTTCGGGCCCCAGCCGATGCGCGATGCGCTACGGCAAGGCGCTGCGCCGCACGCGCCATGTTTCGTCCCAGGTCCCCATCTGCGTTGGCCGCGTCCATGGCGTTCAGCTCCTGCTCGCTGTCCAGCACCGCCTGAGTTAGACCATTCGGGGGGGATCGAACCGGGGAAAATGGTGATTGAACCGGGGAAAATGGTGATTTGAACTGGGGAAAATGGTGATTGAACTTAAGCAAAAATAAGGATTTAACATCATTTAACGGGAGAATATTGTGATTTTAGTAGGAAATATGGTGACTAGTACCAAAGGCTCAAAGACCGAAGCGCAGGAACCACAGGACTGTCCGTTTTCCATCGAAGAACTTCCCGGTCACAAATGTCTCAGGTACCGAGTCACTGATAAGGTCTATGTATGTCTATGCAAGGCCTTATTTAAATCATTTCAGCGGAAATCTCTTCAAACATTTCTCAAAATACGGCTTGATATGGCCTTGAATGGCCTTATGTTATACATAAATATAGCCTGCTATGGCCTTGTAATATGTTCTTTATGGCTTTATAAATGGTCACAACCATTTGAACCTCCCCAGTTTCACCGAAACAAACCGCACCTGACAGGCTCGGGTCATCATGGCGCGCACCAGCGGATGATCGTCGTGTCGGTTCCGAGGCTTCTTCGGCACCAGGGCTTGGGGGTTGTATCGCCTCAGCCACGGCCCGGTGAAGCAACAAATATGGAGAGGTTTAATTGGCAAACAAGATATCATATATATATATATATTGATTGATTTAATATAGAATGGGATATTACCAAGCCTGGATTTTTCTACAGCCAAAGCTTACGAATAGAGTGGGCGCCAATATTTAAGTATATATATATATAATTATATATAGCTGATTGTGATTATCTTTGTGGTACCATCCTAATTATATACCAACCGAGTTTATTATAGTCTGGAGTTGAGGACCATGGTAAGCCCAGAAAAAAGGTCATGTTTTAAAACTTTTGCAGATGCGGTTTTCCAAAAAGATTAGGTACAAGATGACTCAGCGACCAACAAAACCATAATTACTCCTAACTAAGCGGATCGCCGCTAAAAAATACAACATTGGAGGGTTTCAACACCATATTATCTAGATCAACCAACGTTCTAAGATATATTCATGGATATTCTTAGGTCAAAAGGCCCGAAATAACTAGAGTTAGAGGAAAAGAGCGGGACACTGGTTGATGGTTGGTTCTTTACATAATAGAAAAAACCAGCCCAAAATACACAAGAAAGTCGTGAAGGGGATCATCGTCTTGAAATCGCACATGAGCAGTGTGACCTAACCCCACTGGCCGTTGTCCCTTGATACTGGCAGGTTAAGAACGGATGTCCCATACTGATCCATAATGGATTTTGATAATCCCCAGATATCCCCAGTATATTACAATATATTGGATAGCAACGGATAGTATAACCCCAGGACTAATCAACATCCCCATCAAAAATAACCCTATCGCATCTCATTGTACTAGTTGGGTGACAACGTTCCCTATAGACTATCATTGTCCCCAATAATTTGTGTTTAGTATAACTCCCAACAATTTCACCAACCAACATGTTTCAGTTCAATCATGTTTTGTATCTATCTTTGATGGTTTTCCAACCCGTATACCCTCTGGTTATGTCAAAATAGCTATTGAAAATGGCCATAGAAATAGTTGATTTTCCCATTAAAAATGGTGATTTTCCATAGTTATGTTACTCTACCAGAGGGTAATTTCCTTAGTTCTTAACCAATCAACCAAGGTAATGCCATCCCCATGACAATGGTCCCAATGATGTGGATTCAACAGGGGAAGGCATTGACCAATCAACGACAGTGCCCTTAACAG